TGGGCGCAGAGCCCCGGGGGGAGCAGGCGGCAGCAGTAGTAGGGCCGGTCGGGGTGTGCGCCCTCTGCTCTGGTGGCTAACCCTGGGATGCCCCAAAAGGTTAAAGAGGCATGGATGTGGCCGTTCCCGGCTACTTGCTGCTTCTGGACCAACTCCTCAGCCTCAGAAATAACTCCTCTAAAAGCAGAACACCTTTAGAAGCTTTTTATAATGATACGATTCAACAAAAAGGCTTAGAAATAGGAAAGAGGTCATAAAATGGCAATGGTTTTCATGGATATGCATTTTAGTTGCAGTAAGACTTTGAACAGGAGCCAGTAATAAAAAATAATTTTGTCTTCAACATGGATTTGGGAATTCATCCCAAAACCAAAGTTAATGTCAGTCAGAATTAAACAAATTAAGACCTTGATCTGGGACAAAGAAAAGTGCATTTCAATAAAGGATATTTCTTTCTGCGTGTGCCAGGTGGACACCCCATTTAAACCAGTTATTCCCACTGAACTATTGGCTGTGCCTTTTGCTTCAAAATGCAACGGAACTTCGGAACATAAGCGCTTCATTTGAATGAGAAAACCAGTTACCAAGTCCAGGGATGACTACACATGTCTAAATATACCACACCGAGTTGAAGCACTGCTTTATGTATATTCTGGAGGATGGAACAACGTTTAGCACTTAGCATCTGCAGTTGTTAGGTATTTTGAGTTAAATATTAAGCCTTTTAGGCTAAATAAAAAAAGAATGCCCGGGAGAGAGTGTCTAATATTTAACTTTAAACAGAAAGTGTCCAGGGATAGTCTGGTTTCATCAAGGCATTTTGAGATACGTGATTCTTTCGCTCTAATCCACCCTTTTTAACCCAAGAAGTTGCAGCAGTGCTCTGTATGCCAAGTGCATGAGGGCAGATGCACTGCTCTGCTGCTTTGTTAGGAGCAGGAACTCTTTGGAGTAACTCCTAAAGAGCAGACTAACTCTAACAGGAATTTTCAAGATAAGCTAAAAGTAGGGATGATAGTATGCTATAAAACAAAAATGGTGAATACAAAGGAGAAGAAAATGCCATCATTTGAAAGGAAGGAACTTTTTCAGAAGTCTGGATAGCTAGTACGTTGTGTAAGTATTTGCCCTCTACTCATCAGTGTAGCAGCTCCCTGTTCATGACCAACGGCCTAAAAACCTGTTCTTAGGAATTATTTTTCTTTCCCAAACATATTTCTAAAGGGCAATAATAAGCAGTGACTGATACTTACATGGTATTTTTCATCTGATGATCCTAATTTGCTTTAATAGCCAATTTTAAAGGTACGTATCAGTAACGTTTCGTTCCATTCACGGCTGGCAGATCTTTAAACATTGCAGAACGGGATCAATGCAAAAATCAGCTGACAATACAGGAGGGAAATTAGGAGGCCAAGTAAGTTCATTTCCATATCAGCATACTCAGGATGTCAGCTAACAGATAAAGCGTTTCTGGAGGATTCGTAGAAACAAACAGAAGGGCCTGGGTTTCTCTGGGAACCGTTTGAGTTCTTTTCTGCCTGGACTGCAAATTGAAGGGAAAAGCAGCAGGTCTATTTTGTATCCAGCTCCTGAAGAAGGTCACATAACTGAACTTTTCTCTTCAAGCTTCTATTCTTAGTGTGAACTTTCACTGACTTCTCTGTTGGTGCCTTGTTTGTTTGTAATTTAGTAAATTGTACTACACGTAGGAAATGGACTTCACGGCAATAAAACTGAAGCCCCTGAAAAGAATACTCGCAAACAGTCAAGACCTGAAAAAACAGTACATTTCCTGTGCACCGTATCAACCATCCTGCAACAACGCAGTGAGGTCCAGACTGTGTGAATAGGAAATGACAAGCCTAGAATTACTAATAACGATGAAAGAAGATCAGGCTATTCCATAGGGACGACGCGTATATAAAGGTATAACTCTAGCCAACACAATAAACCTTCAAAGCATGAAATGTTAATGTTGAGCAGGAAAGTAACCTAATAAAGGAAGATGCCTTCCATATCCCAGACAAAGCATATTAGAGAGATTGGATGTAAGTCTGAATGTTCCACCTCAGTCACTGCAATTATCTGTTAACTATGATGCTTGAATCCAGATCCCAGCTCTGGTTTTGACTTCTTCAAAGCTCTGTGTTTAAATTTCTTCCCAGTTCTGCATTACCTGGACCAAGTAATTATTTTGGGAAATTGCTGAACCTTTTGCTATGAACCCAGGCTGTAATAACTGGTTTAGAGGAAAATAAGTATTTTATTGAACAAAAGTTCTTTAAAATGAGGAGAAATTCCTACAAAACAGTTCTGAAGTGTGCTCGCTTTTCATCTCTATTGCCCTCAGTCAGGGTGGTCCAGAAAGTCAGATATAGGAGTCAGGACCACACAGTGTAATCTGTACAGAAAGCAGTTCTTGCATGCTTCTGTGTTGAAACCCTGTGTTGCACAGATACCATCTCAGAGCTAAAACTGGGTTTTGATAATACTGGTCCACACACTCTGTGCTGCAAGACTGTTCCCAAGAGTTCCTGTAAAACCCCACAATAGCACCCTGGCATTAGTCAGAAGCACCCTGGAGATTGAATTTAAGAGCCAAATATCTAGAGTTCAGGCTAAAATTGGGAAAGACCCAAGAAAAGATTTAAACAAACAAACAAGGTCTTTCCACTGTAACCCAAGATAGGAGCAAAGGCTGAACAGCATCACGTATCAGACCTAGTAGGCAGGATTGTAGGCAGCATTTCTGTCTTTCCTTCCTAAGTTAGTAGTACCTACGTGTACTCCGTCTGAAACACCCAGCTTCTTACAAACCCTGCTACTGTCACGCGAATCGTGTCTCCAGACACTTTCTTCTGCTGTCATTCCTTGAAACGGGTCACACAGTGTTCCCCCGAGCAGCTAAATAAATGCATGACTCGTGTCCCTAATGCAATAACTGTCTTGGATCACCCACAGGGTCATGCTGCTTGTTATTAACACCTATCACGGGATTTAGGTGGACGTGGATCCAGACATGTCCTGCAAAGCCACATGATATTGATGCTCTGACTAAGCTTGTGTTCTAGATGCTGCAACACCCTTTAGGGTCATTTTAAGACCTTCTACACTGTCCTTTTCCAGTGGCCACAAAATAAAGTACTGAATTGTACTGCAAAATAGATCACCGAAACAGGTCTTTATATTACTTCACCTCAAATACAGATTCCCTTGATTCATATGGAGATATAAAACAATTATCTTGGAACATGCCTGATTCAAAACATTTCAAGTGTAAGAGACAGGCAGTGAAGGGTAATTAGCATAATAAAAGTCCTAAGAGAGGAGACAGGTCTAAATATAGGGGAAAGATAAAACACTATCTTCATGCTACTTAATACACAGCTAAAACAAGGAAGACCGTAAACTTCCTTTCTGTCCTGCTTTGGTTTATACATTGAGACAAAGGAGCTTTAAGGGTGCTGTGATAAAGGAAAGACAACATTTTCTTTTTTAAAGTCACTCTTTGTACCATGACCTCTTGCTAATAACACTTAACTTTGGTGGGATTGGGGGGGGGGGGGGGGGTTTTTTTGCTTTTTTTTTTTTTTTTGGGGGGGGGGGGAGGGATTTTTTGCCTTTACACTGGTTACAGACAAAGAGCTCTTTTCCTAATTCTACTTAAATCTTTACAAGTATTCTTATCCGTTTTAGAAATGGGTCTGTATGTAAACTTATGCCAAAGCAAAGTTGAGGATTTTGACATGGATGGAAAATTCTGGTCTGCGTTTAGATTCCCCGCCTTTCCCATGGACTCTGCAAAAGCCACAGGTACAATCACCTATAGAGTAGGAGAGCCAAATTATAAACCTCATATAGCTGGCTTTGTGTCATCTGCTCTTGGCTTCCTGCCGTTCTGAAGGCTGGGTGAGGGGAGGTGGCTGAAAACTGAGGAAGTTTATTGTTGACAATACGTTTTGTCTGCTCTCGGGCATGCCTGGGACCAAAGCAGTCCCTAACCAGCCCCAGGTCTGGGGAGTGAAATACAAGTTTTCAGTCACCTTCCCCTCCCTCCTTGCCTCCCTCCCTTCCAGAGGAAAAGCCCAGCTCACAGTTTTCAAAGAGTTAACGTACCTTTGGAAGAGTCCTGTTGTTAGTGCTATTGTCTTTCTAGCTAAAAACATCCTCCTTGCTTGCTTTGACTAAATCATGCAGGAAAATATATCTTTAAACCAGAAGAGATTCACAAATGGACTACTTTTGTCAATTAAAAACTTCATTCTTCCCTGGAATATGGCTATCTCCCCGGTGCACAGGAAGTGCATTAAAGAAGTAATAAACACTCATAAAACACATTTAATGATCTAACATTTAAGAGCAGCGTTCTTGTTCATTACTGTAACTTTCTGCTAAATTACCACCAAGATTGCTCATGGGCTCAAAAGGTCAGTGTTATTTTTGCTGTTGAAATCATGGAGTCTGGGAAACAACTGTGTGTAAATTGCTGATAAACTGGAACAAAGGCAGAAGAGAAAAACACTGAACATATAAGAATGCAAGTAAACCAGCAGGAAAGGAGGGGAGGGGAAGAATCTCACGGACAGTTTATTAAAAGAACAAAAGAAGAAAATCTGGCGCATTTGTTTTCCACGGGTTCAGGAAGCCCGGTCTTTAAGCACCTACTATAAATAGAGTGTTCTAATCCTTCATCAAAGCGGGTAGTAGTCTATACCAAAATGAATGAATTTTAGGTGTAAT